ACGCTATATTGATGTCAGCATTAGCGAGTTTCAGAAACATGCCTTTGAAAGTTTTCAGCTCTCGTGATGTTTCTTGATATTTTTTTTATCATTTTATGGAGATGAACAGGAGGGCATTTTGCATGCGCATGCGTGAATCCGCTGAATGACAATAGCGTGGGCTCATCAAATCTGATGGCGGGAAATCGAAAACTCGCGCGTAAAGTTACAGTCCTTTTAAAAGCCATTTCGTTGGTGCTTTGAATACCGCACTTTCCTTCAAAAAATATTCTCCATCACAAAAATCAGACGTTTTCTACGCGGGTTTTCACTTGTAGATTTTTCAGCAGTAGGTTTCCTTGGCCTTTTAAAGACTTTCAAGACTCAACGCCAAAAAGTCATGTTCCTGTATAAGTCTGATTTTCACTGGCAAAGCAATGCATTTCTATGGTTTGATTTCCAAACTCGTGGTTTTACTTATCAGGGAGGAAATGCATCGTAGCAATGTTCAGCTGCTTTAGGGCAAAAAGCGAAAAAAAAAATTACCACGCAAGGTTTATTTATTAGCGCGATGTCTCATGTTAAACTGATCGCGAAGACAAGCGTTTATATATGCCACAAAAACGTGAAATCTATGGGGTTTTTACAGTTTTTTGAAAGTTTTCGCGGAAAAATTTATAAAAAATATTCTATAGGAAATGAAGAATGGACTGAGCTTGAGACAGAAACAATTACAAGTGATTAGGTAGAACATAATCACTTGAGCATTTCTAAGCTCAGTTGCAGACAAAACGAATGCACGCATACTCGGAAAAAACGAACAGTACTTTTATTTTTCTTTAACTCTATAGATACAAAGATTTTTCCTAAGCTACTATTTTGAAAGTACTCTTGAGTGACAGCTCCTGTGCTCCACAATCGATTTCTTGTTATTAATCTGTATTTGATGACAGTAGTGATCCATTCAAAACAGAGAATGGCCATCACTCCATATAAATCTAAACGACGATGTTGTTCACCTTCAAAGCCTGTTTGAACATAAGATAGGAAGTTTGTTAAAGGGGTGCATATAATGCTGTTTCCTCAAAAAATAAATACTTCTGCTAAAGGACCCAAATGAGCTGGGATGCGACAACAAACATGACACAAATGGATGGATAAATTTGTCTGTTCTTAATGTTTCTGTTGAGAGCTTTTTACTGTATCCAGATGAACCCCTTATGTAAGTTGTACATCATGGAATAATTATCAAGCAGAAACTGATGTACCAAACAAGAATGTGGTTCAATACAGAGGAGAGGCTGGTCTCAGTCAACATCCTTCGTGAATGAAATGTCTCACAAATTAGCATATCAACAAATGTAGGAATAAATGCGATTTTTTGGCAACAGAAGCCAGGATTTATTTAAAAGGTATATTGATAACGTTTCATTTCGTGCTATTTTGGGGTTGGGGAGTTAGGCTAGATTTTCTTTAAAACGCCAAAATGTTATATTTATTTGCATAATGAAATGTAAACAAACAGTGTACCATCAAAATATGGTGGAAAAAAATCAGAATTCAAACCGATTGCTGTAATTTTTTTCCTTTGTATAACTAAATGATAGAATATTCTTATTTTCAAAACACAATCTTACTGGCATCATTATATTGATTTAAATTTATAGTTGAAGTGCGTGTATTTTATTTCTCAACGAAGACGTACCGGAGAAGAAAGCTAAAATTATTACAGAAGGCGATTTTTCACAGTCTTCATCAAAGCGCCCTTCATTCGCGGAAGTATTCTTAGTTTCATTAATCATTAACTTAACCTGGGGAGAAAGGCAAGATTTCGAGATAAACAAGCCAGAGAAAGGGTGAAAAACAGTTTCACGGCAGAATGGACATTTAATTAACCACTGTATTCCTCGAAACGATTAAGTTCGATTTTAGAGTTATACTATTGAGAAGAATTAAGTATCTATAGGATAATTGTTCGACGAAAAACTATCATACTGACCTTTTCCTCCTGCTCAAAAAATGTGCGCGAAATGTTAGGTGGTAAGAACATTCAGCCGCCATCTTGTCTTCGATGTACTGTTTTACGAAAGGAAAGACTGTCCTCTCAAGGGCGACAGCGAGGCTACAATAAACTCACTTTCATCGTAAAAAAATACCACGATACCTTAAAGAACACGTCTGAGGAACGTAGCACCCAATACACGTCATTCAGCTCCAGAAAACAGCCTGCAAATGCTGGTACTGAACGTAAACAATTCACAGAAAATGCCTCTATGGCACTACAACAGCCCATATTGACGCATGCGCATGCAAAATGCCCTCCTGTTATGGAGATGTAAACTGAAGTCACCGCAAAATGGAAAATTAAAAAAGCGTATAATCCATTTATCTCGAAACATAACACACATGACTTATACGACCTTTATTTTCGTAAAGGTGTTTTGAATACGAACGAACACAGGCAATGTGAGGGGCAAAAACAGCATTAATATAAATGAACCATAGGGTTTTAACTAATATAAGGGTTAATTATTGTGCATTGAGAGGAATCGCTTGAAAAGAGAGACTTCGCTTAAAGATGTGATCAGAAGTAAACAAAGGCATAATAGTGCGTCACGTTCAGTCTTTTTAATATCCAAGGAGTCACTGTGAATAGTGTTTCCACAGTGTTTAGCTGACACAAAAACTTCGGACGAGTTATAAAGTGGCATAGTTATCTTCCATGAACAAAAGTTCGTCTTGGGTGAGACAAACAGAACTGGAGCGAATTTTTAACTCGCATCGGTATCAGGTAAAAAATATGTTATCGATCGTTTCATCTATTTACATTGTTTGAAGTGCGTACTGGTGAACGCAACATGCGAGCGAGAAATCTTTAAACTTTTTTAGGTCTCAAAATGCAAAGGATTTTATTCCTTTAAGTTAGAGAAAAATACCATGAGGAAAATCTTAAAACTGAATATTTTTCATCTTGTGGAAAAAATAGTGCGTTTTCTGGTAGACTGTGGACCGCAAATTAGGATCGCACTTTTCACAAACAGTTCAGAAGCCAACCGACGATTGCGTTTTTCGCTGCTGTCAATCATCTTAACGGACCTCTTAGGAAACAAAACTTTACTTCACAGGTTCAAAAGGTCATGGTTTGTGATTTGTGGATTTCGATCCGCTTTGTGTGTTTCTCTGTTTCAAGGTTCGTTGCTTGTGATCGTAATTATGATTGACGGCAGCGATAAACACAATTGTGAAGGTGGCTTTTGAACTTTAGAGTTCGCATGTTTGTGAAAAGCGCAGTAAAGTCTCCGTGCAGTCAGTGAGGCCCCTGGATCAGGCGGGATCAATGGGCAGTTAACTGTCTGTTTTTAATAGTATACTTCTGGTTTTCATACAATACAATATTTCTGTCTAGTGTAAATCAGCTCAGTCTGTCGCATTTTATGCTCGTAGAACGACAACAATTTTTGGAATTTCCAGTTACGTCAAATTAGTCACGTTATACTGTCACGCTATATTTTGGGGCACGGAGGGATTGGGGGAGGGGTGCGTGGAAATAATGCAAATTGTTTCCTGCTTAGAATTAATGGCTAACTTGCTTATTTTTATTCATAATGGTGGAATTTAAACGTGATTATACAGCCCCCACTTAAAAATGGTACTCTTTTTTTGGGTTACGAAAGTCTTTCAAAGGGGTACAATGTTCTGAATGAGTTTATGTTTCAGTCTCACATGAGGTTCTGTCACATGCAATGGTTGCCGACAAGGTTTTATGGTAGCCTGAGTGTGTATAGCCGCCCCCTCCCTTCAGAAAAAATAGCCTTTTTGCAGCCCAGTTAAAAATCGCTTTTCGGCGATTCTTGTTCATTCTGTTTTTACGCCTGCTAAATGGGTCAGTCATTGGGCTGCTATTTGGCTGGCATTAGTTCTCGTTTCGTATGACTTGGCTCGTTCTGTTATTATGCCTGTTGTGTAGGTCAGTCATTGGGCCCTACTTGGTTGGCATTATCTCTCGTTTCGCTCGTCTTAATGTTACGCGGTTTTTTAGCACTTTTGTTCTTATGCTGGTTGCGTAGGTCAATCATTGGGCTGCTACTTGGTTGACAATTTTTAAGTCCGAATTATGCTATCGATTGTCATCTCTCTAATTTGTACCAGACGTTCAATGTCACGGTTCAGACAAGGGCTGCCGTTTCGCTGGCGTCACGTTTAGTATTGACAATTTTTTTTTCTTCTTCATAGTTTTACAATTGCCCAACAATTTTTCGCTTTCCAGCTTTCACGCGAGCTTTGCTTCTTTTTGTGGGGCTTCAGCCACAGTTATGTGGCTTGTGGCGGATCTATGTCTCCCCATTTTTTATTCAGTACGTTAATCGGTTTTACATATATCGATGTGTTGTGATTCTGTTAGCTTTGATTTCATTAAACCTGTCACAACCATGGCCAGATTTATCCAACACAGTTGTTTGTTTATATTTTAATTCTGTTCCTTATCGGAAAGTACGTAACCGGAAATGCAAGCAGAGCTCGCGCAGACTTTGGCCTTGTTTGGAACACACGCCTTGATATAAAGACCGTTTTGCTTAAGTTGAAAAGCTTTGGTTAATTTTCGACTCAGACGATCACTAGCCAAGGGTATTTCGTTAGAAGTAGATCAGTGCGTTCCATTCATGTGGCAAGTAAGTTTTCGTTATCTAAAACTAGGATGGTGCTAGGCTTGGTTGCTGAAGTTATAGCTAGCTGCCAACGAAATATTTCACTTTTTATGTTTTAGCTCAGTATTTTAATTTGGCACGAGTTTAGGTTTCTCCCGGTAGAAGTTTTTATTGAACCAAATTACTTCCCTCCCTGTTGAATCTCACTTCCCGTCATTACAGTACCCTCCGTGACTGATCTGCAGACGGATTTCTTGCTGATTGTTTGTGTTTCACTTGTTTATATATACATGTAATACTCGTTGCATGTATGATACCTTTCAGTATTTTCTCGGCAAGCTATCAAACGTGGTTTTCGTTTTCTGTGTTGCGCTAACTATATTTACATATGTACGTCGTTTTCTACATGTGTACCTTAATAATTTTGACTGAACCAGAACTTTTAATCTCCTAGGCAAGTCATGAGTTTCATCTGCAATTCGCCGACCACCTTTCTGCTTTTCGTGGTTTGTAAGTATCCGCATCTCTGTTCAATACCTTTTTTTATTGTTTAGTTGTTATGCATACTACAGAAGCACAGTATTTTATTTTACGAATTACGGAAAAGGGTAGACTGAAACAGACCTTTTAAATAAAAGGTACAAGACCTTTGAAGTAATGAAATAAGTAGCTATAGAGCAAATTACAGTTCTTTTGGGATTGCTAAAGTAGGGTAGTTTCTAGTTGGTTTTTACTTATTTTACAATGAACTTAGCTGCGTTGATTTGTAGATTAGGTAAACACGGACTATAATATTGTTCAAAGATTAAGGTAAATTAAAGGTGAATTAAACCGGGAAATATATATACCTGGAGTTTTGAAAACCAGGTTAGCAAGAATATCAACTCATTATACTACTTGGAGATTTGAAACAATAAATAATCATTCAAAGTCCGATTAAAAGCCTTTATCTGACGTCGTGCAGTAAGTGAGTGGTCCCTAGAAGCGCTTCAACGAGTCCAAATTTATAATGACGCAAATTTTAGAATATTTATTGAGTAATCTGACTCCGTGAAGTTTCAAACTGGTGTCAATTCAGTCTAGAAATTTTTAAGTTGTGTGAACAGCAACCAAAAAGTGCCTGGTTAAGGCTTACATAACAACGATATTGGACGATACAGACTATGCGAATCGTAATAATTTTGTCCCATTACAGAGCTTGACATGATGCTCTCCGGGAAACTTCTCCCAAGGTGACCAAAAACCAGCTTTAGCGGAACCAGCTTTAGGCGGGCTCTGATTTCAAATAACTGTCACTTGTGTTAAAGAGAGAACTGAGGGTAGGGACGAAACAAAAAACCAAAGAGAGAGGGAGGTGGGGTTGGATACACAAAACCACAAAACCCCCCCCCCCCCCCAAAAAAAAAAAAAAAAAATAGATAAATAGATAAATTAATAAAATAAAATAAAAAACAAAACTGAAGCAAACAACACAGTAAACAAACTAAGACAGGTGAAGTTGAAAGAAATTAATAAATGTTTGCTACCCCGAATCAGCCAAGTACATATATATCGTTCACGTTTTATAGTTGTAGATTGCAGTAAGGAAAACGCCAGAAACAGCACAAATATAAAGCAAGGAAGCCAAAGACTGGAGCAAGAAAACAGACAAACTATCAAACACTGAGTTTATGCTTCGAAATCCTTGAAGGACAGTGTTGCGGATGGATGTTTACCGCATAGTATATGTGGCAGTAATAGAGCTATGGGTATTTCCGACGAAATGGAAGTCGTATCGATTGCTGTTGATGAATCGAAGATCGTATAGAAATTAAATCGACTATAGTGATGCGATTGTGAATCTGAGCAAGTTCGACAACGTTATTCATGCGATAGTGATAGCAAAGGAATCTACCCCCCAAAAAAGTATTCTACACGTTCATAGTTTCGGTTTTGCTCATCAATTAACCTGCTGCTTTTCATATTTGCTCGTTTCCTTTTTCTTCGAATTTGCAAGTAGCTCGACCACAGAAAACGATTCTTGAAATGCGAAGCGCACGACTAGAACGATGTGAGAAGGAACTCATAAAGACGCTCAACATTTTCGAATTTTGTGAAGAATAAACTGACAGATTATAACCATAAATCTTTCGCTTTTAGTTTCAGTGTTTATCAAAGCCAATCAGTGTTTATCAAAGCCAGCTTTTGTTTCTGGGCCAGACAAAATAACGATTAATGCAACGACAGGATCAACACAAACATTCACCTGGAAGTTAAACATCAGTCAGGAACATAAAAATCGGGAATTAAAGGCCCAGTTTGGACCTTGGAATAGAAGCTACAAACTTGTGAAGCCATTCATAACGTTTAACTCATCTCGAAATCCCCCTGTTGACAAGTCTCCGAAGAATCGTATGTCCCGGCGTTTGTACTGGGTTGGAGATTTGAAGCGAGACTACTACATCGCCTTTGAACTTGTCAATATTCAACGTGATGATGCTGGTGATTATGGTGTGAAGTTACGTGTTGACAACTATTCTCGTCGCCCCTTGACTTTACAAACTTGGTTTACTCTCAAGGTTGAGGTACGAAAAAACAATCTTATAGTTTTTTTGCAAAAAAACTGAACTATCATTGTTTTTCTCTGTTAACTGTACCCATCCAATTTGAGCCATTAGAAAGTGTGCACAAGACACACATCGTTCGACATCGTATTCTTTTATGCTCAGATAACCAAACAATTTGCACTTTGCTGTCAGATCGGTAATCCTTTCTGGCCCTGTAACGTGCCCTGAAAATTCCGCTTATTTAAAAGAGGACTAAGTTATCATGCAGATTATCCTTGTACAAATTCAAGTTTTAATTTCATACTACACGGGACAAAACTGTTCGGCTGGATTGACGTTTTGATATACAAACATAAAACAAGCCAGGAAACCTCAATTATATTTTTGACTTTTGGACTTTATTAGATTACACACATGGAAAAATATTTTCATGTTTATTACATCCACTTTGAAATCACTAGCTATCCGTGCAATCTGATTGGCTATCAGCAGTGTGATTTATTCCTAAATCGCACCATTTTTGTTCTATATCCCATTCGCATCATTTCTGTTTCGAATACAAAATGAGATGTAAAAGCCCTTTTGTATCGGCTTTTTAACAAACCCGCTTCTTGATCAATAAAATACAGTATTGGTACTGACTGAATTCTGTGATTTCAAATGGCTCTAATAAAGTGGTAATTGAACTTCGTGTCGTGCAATTTTGATCTGAAATCATACTTGTGATTTCAAATCGAACTCGCCCTGCGCGCTCGTTTGATTTTGAAATCATGCGTATGATTTCAGACCAAATTTCACTCCACTCCAAACTATTACACGTATCTTACAACCTTACAATATACGTGTTGGACACAAACCGATAACCACTTTACGGCGACTGCTTACTAATAGCGACCTTTAGCAATGAAGAAAACGGAGGAGAAACTTATGAAAAGCAATGCGACATTTTCTGCTATTTACCAACGAGACTGGCGCCTTTGAGTCGATGTGATTAAGTTTCAATGAAGGTTATTCTGTCCGGCTTTTTTAAAGAGGAGAAAAGGTTTCCAATAATCTGTTGGCTCGCTATAAATTTTGCCATTACTAACAAAGAAATCCGAAAGTTGTGTTTGCTGTTAAGAGGTGAGATAAATTGAAAAATGATTTTGTTCACCATTTTATAGTGATGAGCAGTGTTATTTCTAAAGCAGTAACAGTTAAGTCAGCTCTTAATTGACGACGATGCTTTCCATTTAATTTTCCTTCTAGGATCCACCGCCAACGCCGTCTGTTGGTAAGAATATGCAATACTTTATTTCATGATGCACTAATGTTGGGGCAGAAAATACTTATGATTTGCAAATGAAAAAAGATATGAACCTGCTATTAAATAAGTATGCGCCAAATGAAGGCTTTCTCGCTCAGTGTCGAATGCTGTCATACAGAAGAACCCCGATAACTAGCGAAGGGTTGACGACAACAACAACAACAACAAAAACAGTTCAAGTTAGCGAGCGTTCGAGTTATCGGCATCGATTGTATATTCAATTTTCCGTATCAACAATTGCTAGTTACTGATTTTGCATCACTTCAGTGTACAGTACGGTGGAAACTTACTGGTTTCATCAGGAAATACAGTAATAATGCATTTTTGTGACAAAACATGTCTGTCGCACATATTATAATCACATAGTTGTGATAGTAAGTTTTTAGCGTTTTTACGGATTGCACAACAAGAAAAGCTAATGGGATGGCATCCTAGTGGAGTTACAAGAACCAGAATTTGAATTATCTGGGTAAATTTCAGTGAAGTTTCGATCAATCGGGGTTTAGCTTATTTGACTGCGCCTTGGAAAACCAATTCTCGACTCAAGAAAATTGGACCTAGGTGTAGTTTCAGAGGGCTCGTGGATTTGAACCATTTAGGCCGGTTTTTGCAGATAAGAAGGTGAGAGTAATTTGTGTACTATGTTTTAATTAGTTTGTTGTCTATTCCATGCGAAATCCTGTCATTTATCGGACCGCGAAATTTGGAAAATAGTAGTGTTTTGCAAACTATTTAAGTTGTTATGTAAGCCTTGAGCAGGCACTGCATTTCGGCGGCATTTCTCTCAACTTAAACCGTCTAGACTGAAATAAATGACACCAGTTTGAAACTTCACAGAGTCAGATAACAGAATAAATGCTCTAAAATTTGCGTCAGAGCAGAGCTGGATAACTTGCTGTTTAGGATACTTACATATACAGTTAAAGAAACATTCAAAATGGCGGTAAAATTATTGGGGAGTAATAGCCTCCCAGCCCCTCTCCCGGCTCCGCGGTCCGCTGTAAGTAATAGGATGAGACTCCGAGATACGAGTCGTGTGAATCGGCTATGTTGCTAACATAGTATACTGTCTTAAGCCTGATTTTGCGCAGCTGTTGATAAAAGTCACTCTTGAGACAGCTTAAATAATGGAGAAATGGATGAAGTTTTATCCTTAACCCACAGATACTCGACACATTACTCTGAACGTCAAGGATGGGGATCCCTTGAATATCACGTGTCGTGCCAGCATGGAAGCGAGTCCATATGTGGTGTGGTTTAAGGACAAAGTTCCCATTTATACAGGACATAGCAAGTTTTTGTTTCTCACAAATGTGAACAGATCACAGGCAGGGAACTACGTTTGCGTCTCCACAAGCCCATCTGGAAATACTTCATCACCTGTTACGACTGTTAACGTTCTCTGTGAGTATTTCCTTTTCCTACATGTGCTAAACAAGTCTGAGAATATACGACCTTTTTTCAAGTAGACGAAATGAAAAGTAAATTAGAAAGGGACGTAATTCTAGAGTAAGGCCTCTATGACCTTTTATTAAGCATACACGAGAACCAGTGAGTACCACGGCATAATTCTTAAACACACGTCCTCGGCTAAACTAGTGAACAACCTGGGCACACAATTGCAATAAGTCAGAGCTCGTAGCTGTCGACATCTAATACATGCATGTTTCACTATGAAACTATTTTAACAGTCTAAAAACTGATGCTAAATATAATTATATTACACGAAGGCTGAACATTAATAGGTCAAATACCATGTATAGGATATTATTTAATCGATCAAAAGATAATCAAGTTTCTATAGTTAATTAAACAACAAGTGAAAATTAGACATTATCTTGGTCAAATGTGTTTGAATAAGTGCAATTCTGCATTTTTTATCAGCGCTAGTTTGAATAAATAAGATAAGCAAGCAAACAAAGAAATGAATGAATACTTCAATAATTTGAATTGCAATTGGTCTGGCTATCTTCTTTACATCTCAAACTCGAATGCATACCCACAAGTTTTAACCTTAATGCCTGTTTTTGCGCCGTTTCGGTCTGAAAACAGTTACAGATTTTGTCCGTTTTGGTCTGCAATCGGGTATGGCTCGAGGGAACTACGGGATCGAGTGTGTGAGCACATTTGTCGTTTCAATTCCAAGTGAATAAGAAAGAAAGAGTAATTTGCAAAGTCGAAAATGAATTTCAAAATATTGGCGTTCCCGGCAATCTAAGTAATAGGGAACTTAAGATGGAGACGTTTTCGGGGCGACGGCGACCGGACTGGCAGAGAAAGCCTGGAACTAAGGCAGCCGTCGCTCCCCGTCAAAAATAGAACATTAAGATCGCAGTGAACTCAGAAGGACGGCGCCTTTAATTAGAAGAATACCGAAGAGGAAAATATGGCTTCACATAAAGAATTAAGAGAATAAATATTTGCTATGCAGACAACATGTATCGGATGAAGAGTTTCTCGTTTTGTGGAAAACTTATGAGTCCAAAAATCCCGATTTTCCTCGGGACAGTTACGATCCGTTCACGCTAAGAAACATGCGGGATGCAGCTGAGTTCAAGGCAGAATTTCGTGTTGAAAAAAAATGATCTCCACAGGCTTGCCGAAACCTTGCAAATTACAGGAACATTAAAATGCTACCAAGGAACCGTATTCTTAGTTTGGCATTGAAATAATTCCCGGGAAATACTTGCATGCAACAACAACAACAACGGCAACAACTTTATTTCAGTATTCCCACGCCGAGTTAGTACATGGTATTACCTACTATTCTATATAATTTTCAATGCGTTTCATTTATACGATGTTCTAACGAAAAGAGCGAACTAAAAACACACAATTGAAATATCGGAGTTCATATTTTTTGTCTGGATACTTTTATTTGGCTCGTGGGAAAATTTTGTCGCATGTCAAGCTCACTTACGGTTGGCTGTTTGCCAAGTTGGATCTTGACCCTGTGAAATGAAAACATAGAAACATTCAAAGATGTAAGTTTAGCGAACATAGCTTGGAAATCGAGCTTGAAATGTGCCTCAAAGAAAACAAGGACAATTTACGAACGATAATCTGCAAAATGTTGGTTGCTAAACGCAACAAACCTGATTGAAATGACAGTTAAATACTCACGTTTTCGCCACAACGCCAAACAGACCAGTTTCACGTCGCCGACGGGACCACGACGGCAAGGTGGTGAGCACGAGCATGCGCAATATCCAACAAATGATGATGTCACGTCCGGTTGAAGTTGCCGTCGCCCCGAAAACGTCTCTATCTTAAGTTCCCTAATGATGACATATAGTTTCTGCCCATGTGGGTCTGGATTTTAGAGGCCAGGTCTGAAAACGGATGTGGAAAATGACATTTTTGCTCTGAAATAGGGTCAGGATGTGGAGAAACGGGGGGCACACCTCACCGAGAATTGCCAGGAGTACCCCCGGAGTGTATTTATATCAGCTATTATATCTATTATAGTTATCTCTTCAAGTGTTAAAAGTTGGCTCTAATTTTTTTCTGTTATTAGATTTGTGTATTGATTAGGCTACGAAATAAGGTTATCGTTTTAATTTTTTCTGTTAAATGTGACGTGTCTCTTTTAGATGCGCCAAGAATTGTTCATTCAAGCAAGCGGCTGAAGGGAAGTTTAATAGCGCTGAAGTGTGAAGCAAAAGGAAATCCTTCACCAACATTTACTTGGCGCAATGAGTACGAAAGAATACACGAGGGTTTCAACACTAGCTGGAACTCAAGCTCTTTAATCGTCACTCAAAAGAATGATGTCACATTCTATGTATGCACAGCGACGAATAAGATTGGATCGGACTCATATGCATTCTCACTGCACGAGAAAGGCAAGTACAGTGCACCAATTTGACGAAAAACATTGTGGTAATGATTATCACTAGGGTTGTAACATGTTTGATATATCTTCGTAATTGATGTTGAGAGTTGCTGTCCTGGCCACAATCCAAATTTTTACCATTAGTAATAAGTTCCTGATTATATTACACTAGGAAAGTAAAAAACACACAACTAAACTAAAACAAGATACCGGGCAGTGACAGATCCGCGGGGCCGGTCCCCCCATTTTTAGGAAAGCCCAACAGTGGAACTCGAAGACTAAAAACGTACATTACTTGAAACAATAACCCTTGCCCTGTTGAATGGAAATTAACCAATCCCAAAAATCAATGCAAAGGATATTAAAATTTAGAATAGTTATACTTGTTTGGCAAAGAAACGCACTTTAAAAGCAAAATGCTGGAGTTGCACGAGAAAAGTTTACAGATGTATTTTTAACCCTAACATGGCAGTAATGAACGTTTTGTCTTTGATTAAGGGTTTTTTCCCTGTGTCCGAGCTAGGCCTGTAAGCCGAAACATTGCTACATGCGAGTAGTCTGGAGAGAGTTGTTCAAAAGTATTAGGGAAACCAATGGTGAATGAATTGGATAGCACCATCTACTTAGCCTAGTGAACAAGCGGTGCGAGACGAACAGAAACACTAATGTTGACTGAGTGTGACCGAGGTGGGTCCTTCACACTGGATGGATGCATTTGCAGCATGCATAGAAGCAACCAGTCTGGCATTCACAAGCGTGGTCGAGAATTTGAACTTGGGATTACTGTGATCAAATCCAGCTAACTTTCAGGGCGGGACTTAAAGTATTGCAAGACCAGCACGCCTGTACTGCTGCTTTCTTTTTGCACGCATTTAGACTGTTCTGCGGTTTAGTCAAGTAAGCGTTCTTTTTTCTCAAAACTTCATTCCAAACTCAGCCTTACTTATTGCTTGCTAACAGGTCCAGAAGAGTCAAGAATTTCGAAGTCTTCAGGTAAGAAAAAGAACCATATACATGTAATTATATAAATATAAGTAAAGTAAAAAGAGAAATTAAGGATGCCGTGTTTGACTGACTGCATCGAACTCGTGGCTCTTAGTGGAAAAAACTGCACTGCGCCGATCTCTTAAGTGGAGAGTCACATATTGGATAGCTTCACATTGTCAGAAAAACAGATAGCTTCTCGTGTCACCGTATTTTTTTTAATCTTAAAAATTACTACTCTGTAATTAGGTTTGTGTTGTGACAAAAACAATTTTACTTAAGTATGTGTAATGGCCTTTCGATAACATTGGTACTCGCCCTTTTCTTGAAACAGATACTGAAGACAGTTCACTTTTCAAATACATATCTATATCCGTGGTGTTGGCTATAGTTTTGGTTTGTGCTATTGTCATTCAGCGATGTGTCGTGAAAAGACATAAAGAACGAAAAGAAGGTAAGTATAAAACTGAAACCACGTTCCACTTGGCTATGGCTATGTGGGGTTATGTAGGGCTATGTGTGGCTATGCAGGGCAATGAAGGGTTATGTAATGCCAAGTAAAGCTGTTTAGGGTTATATAGTGCTATGTAGGGCTACTTAGGGATGGCTATCTAAGGCTACGTAGCGCTGTGTAGGACTACGTATGGCTATGTAGGACTATGTAGTGCTTTGTAGGGCTATGTATGGCTGTGTGTGGCTATGTGGGGCTATGTAGGGCTATGTAGGACTATGTGTGAGTGAGTGAATGAGTGAAAACTTCATTTACCCACGGTAATTTTATCAAATAACTTTACAATAAAGTATCTGTTCTACCTAAAAGCCGTGCATTGATTAATTTACATAAAGATAGAGATATATGTCTAAAAACTAAACTAAGAAAGGATCGCACACAACATTAAACCTAATAATACAACTGAAATTATGATGCTTGCGGAAGTTGTGTAGATAGTACGACCTGATCTTAGTCTTAAATTGTATAAAAGAAGTCACTTTCTTTAAACTGAAAACTGGTTCCGTAAATAAATAAGAGATTTAAAAATATGAACAGATTGCCTTAATTTAAGAAAAATAAGTCCAAATAGTCCTGTAGTCAAAGTTCTCTGTCCGGAGGCTGTTCTGAAAAGGGAGATGTTTAGATTTTGGCTCCAGTACTCCGAATTGTTCGTTCGCTAACTTGCTCACGGGTAATGAATGGGATGTAAGATATTCAGGGGCGTGACCGGTCGTGCATTTGGAGGCCATAATAGCTTGTCGATCGATAATACAGGTGGTCCTTAACAGGCAGCCAAGACAGGCTTTTTAAGAGTGGTGTTACATGATCATATTTTTTCGCACCGCTGACGATTCGGCAAGCAAAGTTTTAACAGCCTGCAATTAGTCATGTGATATAAAAGCTAAGTATCAATGTGAAGCTGTTGCTTTAGTACGTTATTTTCAGTCTGTAAACCACCCAGGCCCAAATAAAGAGAGTTGTTTCTGTTGTTGTCGAATGCCTAAGCGTGGTATTCCTCAAAATACTGCTAAATACTGACATGCTTTCTGTTGGAGCCTTAAAAAGCACAAACAAAATATCCATATTTATGATTTCAATGATGTATTTAGTTTTTTCATGTTGTTTTTTATTTGATATCCTTACATTAATTTATGATTTCAGGCGATGCTTCCGACAGAATCAACACGTAAGTTTCTTTGAGTTATTCTTTACCCACGGTATTTTTTTAACAGTTGTTAATATAAAATTGTGAGTATGAAAAGAGACCTTATTCCCTGGGAACGTAATCGTAACTCGCTTTCTCACCGGAGTTCGTTGAACTTGTGAATGCAGAGTTAATTTTATTCTTAGATCGCCGCTACAGTCGCAGTTCTTCAATTCTTATAGGTTTTGCGGCCTTGTTTCAGCTGTAAATTATATTAGGACGCAAAAAGAAATTGTTTCCAAACAGGGCAGTGTAAAAGCAGGCTGCGGACTGACTGTGGACTATAAAGGGTTAGAAAACAATGGGACTTTTGTTGTCACGTTCTCATTTGCATGAAAACAATATAGTCTGCAGTCTGCGTTTTACGTTTTAAAACCCTTCAAGATTTTAATATCCCTTAGTTCTATGAAAATCCTGTTTCATGTCCAATTTTATAAGTGGCGATTTTTTGTGTGTATGTCAATACAATTAGTGTAATTAGTGTGCTTTAGGTGCTAGTAAGCTCTTGAGAATGTTGTTGCCTTTTTGTATAGGCACTCTTCCCTTGAAGTCGCTCCGATGGAGGCGCTTTATTCTGAAATAGATTCGCTGCTTTTTGGAGATATTGAATGGGAAATACCACGATCAAATCTAAAGGTCGAAAAGGAGATTGGGAACGGCTCATTTGGAGTGGTGTCACGTGGTTTGGCGTTCAATTTACCTGGAAAACCCGAGTGGACTGTTGTGGCAGTGAAGAGCATTAAAGGTCATATGACTTATGTGCAACTTTACGCGAAACAAAACAATACGTGAATTTATATTTTATCCGTTGTCACCATCCATTTACCACACATAACATGACAAAGATTGCTTGCATGCCTCAGTTCAAGAGGTTGACAATGCTGTGTATTTTATTCTATTTTATCAGAAGGTGCGTCTGAAAGGGAAACACGAGACCTGTTGTCGGAAATGTCACTTCTCAAACACCTTGATCCTCACCCACACGTCATTCGCCTTTATGGCTGTGTCACAACTGAAGGTCAGTACAACACTATACACAACAACTCCCACACAAAGAGCTGTTCTCGCTATAATAACTGGCTTATAGAACCAAAAAAATGTTCTTTCGACATTTCTTCAAAACAGTACTAACAATGACCGAGCAAATACCTACTAGGGCTGCGAAAATAATGAAGGGCCAAGGACGTATAACCCTTAGTTGTTGTGTTGCGTTAAAACAAGTTTTTTACTCTTCTTTGTTAAGTACCCATAATCGTATCTTATGAGACCGTTGCTCGCCGAACTTTACATAATTTTGCATAACCGCGTTTATATGTTACAAATTTGGACAGTAGGCCCTGCGTGAAAGGCTGACACTGACTATGACATCATGACGACACGCACAGTCTCACGTGAACCAATTCTGAAAATTGCATTGCCAAATCAGGTTATATAAAAAATATGGAAGTAAATCTCATATCATTGATTTGAAAGAACGTCCCCTGGCTGTGGTCGAGTATGCACAGTTTGGTGACTTGCTTGGTTACTTGAGGAAAAGCCGGGGCATGCGTGATAACTACTACAGTGACCCGTCAATCAAACCTATCACCAGCCTCACTTCGAAGCAGCTCCTGAAGTTCGCGTGGGAGATAAGTGATGGAATGGAGTATCTGTCCATGAAAAAGGTAAATCAGTTGAACACTTTTAAGCGTCTGGGTAGGTTTTTTGAAAAATAATAATAAAGAAACAGAAACATGTAAAAACTAACGAGATAATATTCCGACCCGCTTCCGGCGACATCATCACGCCATTATCAAGGAATTTAGCCTGCGTAGCAGGCCCAAGAAAGAACGGGCGGGCGAGAGCGTGTCTCCCTCTCGCGCGTTCGTTATTTCTTGTGCCCACTACTTCCAAGCGCCTGCTACGCAGGCTAGGAAAAATGAAAATGCGAGTTCAAAAGGAGTTAAAGTACTCTGAATTTGCATGAATGAACACAGATAGAAAAAGATCTGAGCACATATTGAATCCATTTGCACTTTCAAAGGCGATCTTAATTATTTGATATAAAACATTTCTTTAACGAGGCGGTCAAATTTGTTCTTGCATTTATTCAGCACTCTAAAGCAGCTCAAAAGGTCCTCAGGGACAGCGCCCTTTAACCCGCATTTTTAGTTTTCCGTTCCCTTGATAATGGCGTCATGATGTCGCCGAAACGTGGGAACATTATCTCCTTAGCCTTTACTTGTTTGTTTCTCAAAATAATTATTAATAAATAACAAAGAAACTACTCTTTTAATCATCAATTAGTGCTTTTGCACATAATGCGTATAAAGTAAAATTCTGGACGCAAAGAATTGGGACGAGAAACGAAAGGCCTGTGGAAAGACTTCTTTTTAATCCCATAATTTTGATTATTTGACAGATAATCCACCGCGATTTAGCAGCTAGAAATGTATTGGTCGGTGAAGGAGAGGTGTGTAAAATAACTGACTTTGGTATGGCCCGGGATGTGCAGGAAGAAGACATATATGTTAGAACTCATGAGGTATTTAAATTTATTTGCTTTTTCAATTCCTAGCTCAGTTAAATCCTGTAATACGGTTATTTGAAGAGTGAAACAAACAAGAAACTGTGTACGCATTTTTAATGGCAGTGTATTATTCCCTTTTGCGATATCAGTGATGGGCATAATTGTGATATATTAATTCATCCTGAATTCATTGAAAAGGACCAAAACACTTAACTTTTAAATTTTGTAAGTGAAAACTCTATTTGCCGCGTTTTTGGTCCTCTTGGACAGGAAGGTGTGGTTGGGAGGCGGGGGCGGTTAGTTCACTAACATCTGAAAATTAGGAATATTGAAGCTCGATCTGTAGGAGATATGCCAATGTAGCTTTTAAATTCTAGGGACGCCTTCCAATCAAGTGGACAGCACCAGAGGCCTTGATCGGCAGCGGGGCGTATACAACAGCCAGCGATGTGTAAGTAATTAATATTCAGTCACCTGTTTTGAGATTCCGTTTAATTTATCAGCAATCATCATTATTATCAAGTCTCATCGCGCCAGTAGGCGCAAAAGGTCCTCACGCTGACTGACCAACGCTTTCTGTCTTGTGCAACCGCTTTGGGTACTTCCCAGCTCTTCCACCCACCTTTGTTTCGCGAGTCTTTCTCGACTGTCCTTCTCCAAGTAGTTTTTGGTCTTCCTCTTGCCCTCCGAGCTTCAGGAGTCCATCCTAATTTATCAGCAATCATATACCCAAAAGTGTTGTCCACTGGTGTGATAGCAGTAAAAACCCGCATATAAGAACTAGAATTTTGGAGTTCAGACTGAACAGGTTCTTATATTTTGGGGTATTTTTTCGAATAACAGGCTGATTAGGTTCTTAGTAGGTTCTTATTATTTTGCAAAAGTTATCTAGTGATAGCATTCGGGGAACTGCAATAGTACCAATATGCTATAATTGTTAAGCATTTACAAAAATGTCAAGCCTTGTTGTCGAAACAAGTCCTGTATCATGGTCCAAGAGAAAAGTCCTGTATTTTTTTATATTGTATTAAAAAAAACTGTTTTGATTTTTAAATGTACTGTACAGTTTTTGTGTTTGTAACTACAGCAAAGTTTTATGGAATGAGTAATATTTTTTTGGTAAGACTAAAAAGCAGTACACCACAAAAATTTTCACAATTAAAATCCAGAATTTGAACTTCAAATCTGGAGTGTTTTTTATTTAAGAACCTTTTTTTCTTTGTCAGGCTGAATAGGTTCTTATATATTTGGGTATTAAAATGCAAAATTTCAGCCTGTAGGTTCTTAAATCACTAGGTTCTTATACGTGGGTTCTTACTGTAGGAACTGTATGTAGGAACCCTTCACGACACTTAACTCCAACGATAACAAGCATAAAACTGGACACTCAGAAAACAAAAATACCCATAGATTTTTATCCAAAAAAATTCACTTTATGTGCGTTTGGTTTGCGTAGGTGGAGCTTTGGTGTGGTCCTATACGAAATCTTCACTGTTGGTAAGTTAAAGGGGCTACTTCACGCTTTCACTAGAATTGGTTTTCAAAATCTATTGAATACCAGAAATCAGGTTCCAGTTTTCAGATGTTTAAGACTCTATTTAAGTATTGAAACGGTTTCTTGTCGTTTGTTGCAACGCGGGATGGCATGGATGGAAATGGATTGAGACTTGAAAAAGTTGGGCTAACCCAGTTTTAATGATATGCCTGCAAAAAAATCTTTTGGCAATTACTCCCTGATGGAAATTGTTTGATATCTTTTTCATAACTCTATAGGAACATTTTGTGTATGGTTAAATGACTTCAGCACAGAATAGTCCTTTTGCTTTTTGTAAACACGAAAACAGTTCGCTTTTGTAAAATTTTGTTAGCACGACCTTAAAGAGCATATTGAAATAACGTAACCTGTAAATTTTCAGCCGTGTACCTCAAAAGTAGCGATTGAAGAGGCCGCCGAAAATTAGAAGGATTTGAATGGGAAAAACAACTCTTGCCACCAATCACGTTTGATTGGTTTTACAAAAGAACCCTTGTACATTTCGAAATTTCGAAACTGTCTTAAAAAATTTCCTTTTAAAAGCATTACGGGGCTCAAATCTCCTTTTTATTCAATATAGGCAATTTTAGCCCTTAAATGCGTAAGGGAAAAATTTAAGGACAGTTAAAAATTCAAAATTTGCAAGGATTTTTTTATTTTCGCCTGACTGCTGATAAAACCTTGCCAAGAAGAATTGTTTTACTCTATTTTAGGAGGTGATCCTTTTCCAGGCGTATACATGAAAGATATGATCGTTTTATTAAAGAACGGCTACCGCATGTCACGACCCAAGTTTATCAGTCAAACACTGTAAGTACAATGGTACCCGTTCATTCTTGTGACTGTCTGTGTTATAGTACATTACGTATATTTTGGAGGAGTGTTTTAAAATGCTTTAAGAGCTCGTAATAATGGAATCGTTTAATACTGACAAAGGTACGACGTTATGATGGAGTGTTGGAAAAGCGATCCATCTTACAGACCAAGTTTTGGATGCTTAAGCTCACAGCTGCAGACGATGATGACAGAAGAAGAGCAGGTTAGTAATATGAAAATAACCCTATCAGCTTCTAAAAATGATTGTTCAAATGGATCTTTTATGCAAACTAAAGTCACTTGTTCTATTTTTTCCCTTAGGAATACGTCAACCTGGCTGAACTCTTCTATGAAAATGTACAGCTGGCAAATTGTTAGAAGAAGATTGTACATTTCTGGAAAGGAACTTCTTATGCCTTGTGCAAATTTAAACCGTTTGACAGTGATATCAATAGAAATAAATTTGCTTCAGTTTTGCTATAAATATAATCTATATATCTAATGATCGAGCCATTTCTGGACGAAAATAATACCATATGAAAAAAAGAACAAAAAAGAAAAAGGACTGTGTAACATTGCAACCTGGCGTAAGATATTTTACTTAAATTTAAAACGTAACAATTCTAGACGTTTGGAGAAGAATTTGTTTTAAGCATAGCTAAGTATCACGAAAAAATATTGAATACGCCAACAGTTATATTCCTAGCAATAAAAGCGAGTAGTTTCTCAATTCATATTGTGCTCAAGTTTTTCTCTGTTAATTTTACATTAATTTTAGGGCCCTACGATTTTTTGTGATAATATTTCTTAAGCATTTTTGTTGTTTTAAAACTTTATTTAGTCATTACTCTATATTTTTATTAAAAATATAATTGACTGCTTTATCTAGTAATTAGTGGCTTGTTCCTGCGTTTTCATCGTGCGGACGGACAGCAAAAACTATGCACGTAAACGAACTGACTAAGGCTGAGCACAACAGGAAGTCGGAATCAGGGGACCCCCGCTTTTCTCAGCACTGCAATTTTCGACATCCCACCTGCGCTCCTAGAACAAGCAAGCTCATGAATTTGAATCCAAGTAATTACCTCTCTCATTGACACAGTTATTGGCAGTGTTGTTTAAACATAACAGAATTTAGTTTAAGGTGGCCCGAACCTATTTATTTGCGCATTGGTTATGTTTTTGAATCGGGTTTTTCGGCAGGAATGATTTAACCGATTTCTATGATTTTTGGCATCCTTAATCAGAAAGAATGGTCGAACGTTAAGAAAATTCTACTTATTTTCTTATAGGTATAGAGTGTTTTCACTCACGTGGCCTGCATCTACACAAATTTATTGAAACAAAAGAAAGCGTTTGCATAAGAAAAGAGTTCAACTCCCAGAGGATTGGTTTGGGACACCAACATGGCCGCCGTTTCATTGTTTTGGGACACCAATATGGCCGCCGTGACGTCATGTGAAAACACTGTATAAAAACGCTTGAGATATCGGCATCTCCTTAAAACCGCATTTTTACAAAAATGTCAATAATTTAAAAACCCTAAGACAGATTTTCCTCTAACTTCGGCAAATAAGCGTCAGAGCTCTCTAGTTTTATATCCGCAAGTTTGAAGTTAATCGTGACCGTACAACTCGCTGCACAATAACTGGTCAAATTTAACCTTAAAATGCAACGCTAATACGTACATTTGTGAAAGCTGACACACAAATAGAGGACAACTACAGACGGACTATCTCTGCAAGAGTATTCTTGCCCAAAGCTTCAGTTGAAAGAACCCTACGGAGAATAAGTACAGTTTGCAATACAACAAGAACAACTTTATTTGTGTTATAAATAACTTCTATTTATCAAAGTTACTGTGCGTTTTCCCTTCTCTTTTCGCAAAAAAATCTCAACAAAGCTCGATATAACACCTACGGAAATCTCCTACCAGTTTTTAGCACTGAAGATTCCCGTCTTGAGGAGACATAAAGCCACCAACTCCAGTACTTTAACCGATCCATTTTCAGCTGCAACGAAAGCCCTTGTATTAGGTAAATTATTCAAGTTTGAAAGATTTGCCATCACATTCCCACGGGCATTTTGCCATTGGGGATAATAAAATAAAAAGAATAAGACCCTGTTTACATGGAGTGGGGGACCCCGGTCTAGCGGGGTAAGTTTCTTTTGTTTTCTGTCCCCCAGAGCGTGAAAACAAAAGAAACCAACCCCACTAGACCGGGGTCCCCCACTCCATGTAAACAGGCCCTTAGACGATTGTCATATTTTCTTCATCTTTATCTCCAAGTGGCAAACTTTCCGTGCGAACAGTGTGATGTCGTCTAAAAACCTTGAATAAATTACCAAGTACAAGGGCTTTCAGTGCAGGTGAAAAATGGTCCATTAGAATTACTGGACCGGAGTTCTTGGCTTTATTTCTCCTCAAAACGGAAACCTGCCGCGAAGCTAAAAACTCTTGAGAGTTTTTCGAAATAATTTGCCTTGTTAAGATAGGTTTCAAAAAGAGACATACAAAGTAAGTTTGATAAATAGAAATGCTTTTATCTTGCCCCGCATTCATCAAAAAGTTGTTCTTCTTGTATTGGGAACTGTATTCGCCGTATGTTTCTGATTACTCAGTTTCTTGCAACTGAAACGGGCCACCTTAAAGTAGTAAAAGTTACGGCTAGCAAAATCGTAAACAACCGCTCAACTCCTTAGTCGGCCCCACTTAGTTCTTTGTATGGAAGTAGCACATAATAAAAAAAATATGAGTCGGTGAATTTTCACTTTTGGACAATCTTAAGAGTATTTGTGCACTATGGCCGTAATAATGCATTAATACCTAGACCTCTTGAAAATCAGCCACATAACCAAATTCACTCAGCTCCTTCCGCCATGCACCAATTACTGACACATGGTCGAAAACAAATAAACTCTTTCGTTTATAAGAGACAAAGTATACAGGGTGTTTCAAAAGTTCGTTCCGATTGTAAATTGTATTTTGCGCAAAGCATTTAATGCTTCTTTAGGCAAATGTAAACTGATTCAGGTAAGAAATTAATCTAAGTAACCGTTAAAAGCAATTTCAAACTAAAATTTGAAGAAATTATAATTTTTTTTAATTTTTGCCCCAACTGTACAAGTACGCGAGGTTTTTCCAGCCATACTTTTCCTGTCCATTATGTAGGTTTTCTATTTTGGTATTTTTATCGTTTTCTTCATTTTCTGTATTCCTTCATGAAAATGAAGGCCTACACTGTTTGTGCTAGAGCTCAGGCATCTATTTTCATGGCATTCTGGCCATTTAGTCCAAAAAACATTGTCAAATTGTTGAAGAAGACTGAACGATGACCGAACAAGTGGTCAAAAGTAAAGACCTTAGAAGACAAACCAGGGAGTGCATGGCCGTTGTTTTTACACAAACTGTGTCAGAAATATTATCGAAAAAGCTGTAAGCATATGCTTAATAATTCCACAAAACAGAGGTGTAAAAATATTTCACCTTTACATTATCGATCAAAGTTTCGAGCACCGCGCACGGTAAGGGGATAAGTTACCAAAAAAAAGTCGGAAAGCCTTGAAGAGGAAAAGGCGGTGCACACTTCACCCAAGCATCGTGTCAGAAGGATTTGCCAACTTTATACCAAAGGAGGACCAGCCGGCAAACTCATTTGATGTGAACCTCCTAGAGACCAGCTGGATTATCGTAGACGAGACAACATACAAAGATCCAGCCCCCAAAACACTGGACGACAGAAGACAGTGACTACGCTTCGCCTGGAAGAATGTGACTTTGGACACGCCTTGGGAGCTCGTACATTCTATACCTCACCGCTTAGAAAATGTCAGAAAACATACAGGAAGACATTCTGGTTACTAATATTTTAGTTATTCAATGTTAAATAAATAATGAATAACATACTTAGTTTTACAAAAGGTTTTTTTAATAATTAGTGAAATTTTAGCGAATGAAAAATCGGAACAAACTTTTGAAACACTTTGTAGTTTAAGGTGATTCCTTAGTAAAAGAACCTAACATAGATTGTAGATGAAACTTGGTACACTGATGTAACAAGTCAGGAAGATGATAAAAAAGTAATAAAAAGTGGGGGTCACCGTGCTTGTTTTGACGTCACAATGCTGACAAATACGGCTATTTAGGACCCTTTGGCAAAACCCGCGCGCAGCCCAAGTTTTGGGCTTGTAGTGCTTTCTCCTTCAATCCTGAAAAATTCTGATCGAAGGCACATGATGAAAATCGTCGCTTTTTTCTGACAACTACCTTCCGTGGTTGAACAACAGGTAGACATACGCTTTCACTTTTTTATAATTTTTCAGATTGTTGTAATGCTAAAAATATCATATATTTTGGTCAACGACGAGTTATACTTACAATTTTAGCAACAAGCGTTTTTTTATAGCGCGGTTGTTTAGAAATGCAAGTCGAACGAATCATAGTGAATTTCAACCCTGTTTTTGGCTTGTGAAATCGACGGCGGGGCTTGAAACGGTTTTCTTATTGTTTTTCTCGGAAACGAACAAATCTTTCGAAGAAAAAACTACATGGCGTTTGTACAGTTGCTAAAGTCTATCAGTATGCAAAACAAGAGCGATTTTTATCTTTTGAGCCTTGCCGGCCGCACTTTGGTCGATATTTGCATGGAGTTGCTCTTAATAGTTTTCTTTCCTAGAATAGGACAATTGCACGATGGCGATATTTGACTACAACTACTAGAATTCATTTCGGTTTTGCTTTGTTATTTAAATTTGTCAATGCCGCTGCGGATTAAAGAACAAGAACACAACAAACTCAAGGATTCTGGTAGTTGTAGTAAATGACGTCATCATGCAATTGTCCTATTAGCAAAGACAATCCGTTTTCATATGCAGACTCAAAAAACAGCGGAATTTCAAATACAACGAGTCAATTACACTTTATAGATAGACTCGCGATGGCGGCAGCGATAAAAATATGATTGCGGTTCCTTGCTGGAAAAGTGATCACTACTTAAATGGGATGCAAAAGTTAACTTTAGACAAGCCGTGACATGCAATTATAGGTACTCAAGACTGAATTATCGGGCAAGGTGATAATTATAGCAGTGGAAACGCAAGACAGAAAACATTCGGCGTTTTTACACGAGGGACGGATCATCCGTGTCATTAGGGACCTTAAGATCCGACGACGGCGATGGCAGCGAGAACTTCAAAAAACAATAGAATTAATAACCAAAACAACAATTTTGCACGTGCATCACGCTTTTTTGCACATTCCATTGCCGTCACTGCACGACTACGACTTAAAAATGCCGTATTTCACGATTCGCAGACTGAATTAAGTACACAAGCGACGACGAAATTTCCTCTCTCTTTCTGAACTTGGATATGGTTCTTAGGAATTCAACTTTAGGAGGATTCACCTACTTTGACAAAGTTAGTGACTTGGAAAAACCGCGATGAAGGTTGAAAGAACGCGAATTCAATTTTCAAGCAACGTTTTCGCTGCCGTCGACGTCCTGTGATCTTAAGGTCCCCGTTTATGTCGGATAATCCGCAGTGGCGGATCCAGGCGAGGGCTCTCTCTGATTTTTAGAGCCCAAATTTTTTGAGAACGGCCCCTTCTCTGAACGTCGCAAGTGATCCGCCATTGATCCATGCACGGGGAGACTGGTAATCCACCTTTCAAGCAAGCCATGTTCACAACAAAATTTTCATTTCGGAAGAATATTAAAAGCGTCTTTATCCGTATGTTCGTTTAACGTTGGACTTCAACTTAGACTGATAATCTGTCTCATTTGAAAACGGCCATCGAATGAACTGCATTTGGGTAAACTTCGGCTCGGTTTCTTTTCGTTTAAGAAGTATTCCGGATTTCCCAGTATCCGAGTTCCAGTG